AGGGACTCACTACAGAAAAATTTATGAAAACTGATTGAAATGCCTTGATTACTGCACTTATTATAAACTCTATCTAAACCAGCGATTGTGCTTTAGGGTGAAAAGTTTCTTTGAGTAACGGAAGCTAACGAAACCAAGTCAAGAGGAAAAACTGAACTTTTTAGACCATCCTTCCAGCATACATTGTTTTATACTTTAGAATTTATGTGCCCTAACTGAACCAAACACCTTTTGAAATTTACTATTGCGAAATTTTGTTGAATTTTTAAAATCAGGAATATTTCAAGCTAGAGGATTTTTAGGTTATAATTATAACCACCATTGCATTATCTGGTTACAATTATGACCAGAATTGCTTTACGCAGACTTAGAAGTACGAATAGGGTTGATCTCGCAAACATTTAGTAACAATTTTGCAACACTTATGAACAAACGATTACTTTCATAAGTATTTTCAGGATAAAGAATTTATCGGCACTGACAATAACTACACAGACTTCATTCAACAGCTAAAAACGTCTCAAAAACGAGGACCAAGTGAGCACAACCAGTGTTTTTTGGATAGAAGTATGATCTTTTATTTGTAGAAGCTGGAGCAGCACTGCTATGGACATGGCAAACATGTACCGAATTTGGATACTTTCAGTCAACAGATGGACTTAGCATATTTGGAAGTCCAACGCCATTGAAGTAAGACCTTTAAGGGGTTGATAAACTGAAAACAAAATTTTAAGTCCCCAAGAAATTTTTAGAACTCTTGAAAATTTCGTAAATGAAGATGACTATTTCTCCATATCTGTCGCTCCAAAAAAAAATTCTAAAGGTTCAAATAAGAATGGTTCGAGGACAACTTAGTTCTTATGCCTAATTCCCTGAGCTATCCACGGCTGTTTACTGGTTGTTCCCTTCTAATACAATAACAAAGAAAAAGTTTCAGATACCGACACCAGTAGGCTGATTTAATGAGAGCGGACAAGATATTCTCTTTTAGTTCAAAAAGCTCGATGA